TCAAAAAGATGGGCAGTTACAGGTTTTCCATCAACATTATCTTGCATTATTCCATCTTGATAAACACCCATAGCACCCAAAACATTCAAGGTTCGTTTATTGATCTTATTACGACCATCAGATACAATTACCACGACTACTTTTTGCCAACCATCACGTCCCCATGTTTTAGATTTTGATCTTGAACAAAGATGAGCGACATTTTTGATAGCAGAAGACATTGTTTTGATAAAAAGTTTATCATCTTCATTATACATGGTCATAACAATCATAAGTTCAGTTTTTCGACCATAAATGTGAGGTCGAAGAAGATATTTATTTTGAATAAAATCATCAGGATCGCACGTGACAGCAGTATATCGCATAGTACTAAATTCTTCACTGTCACTGTATTTGACATTACGAAGTACTTTGTCAGGTACTGGACAATCTAACACTAAATTTCCATGAGTAAGCTCGACATGACGAGCGGACTACAAGATTTTAATAAAATAATTTTATCAGTTTAAAGAAACCTTTGGGTGATAACATTATTTCGTTTCGCGTGATATTTTTTTTTCCTGGCGAGTTTATTTAACATACCCTTCTTTTTTCATATTTTTCGTTATATACTTGCTCGTAATTTTCTCCCCCAAAATTGTCATAACCAAAACCATTAGTTGGTTGCCTTCGAAGTTGGTTATGGTCAATAGGAGGCGTGACTCTCTCATAATCATTTGGATATCCTTGCTGATACGTAGATTGCTGGTATCCTCGTTGTTGTGATGACTGATATCCTTGCGGTTGTTGAGTGAACTCATATTTTGGACTAACAGGTTGTTGATAACCAACTGGAGTAAGTTGTTGAGGATTCACCCCCGATCTGGGCGGGTTTCTTCCCTGCTGGGATTGATCGTAATAGTTAGGATAAAAGTTATCCATTTTAAATAAAGTCTATATGTATTATTAAAATGTTTTTTTAAAAGAATGTGTAAATGTGTGAATTTCGGATTTTTTTTTTTTGATAATTCTTGCTATTTGTATGAATGTATCTGCCAGCAGAATACTTAAGTAAATAATCTACAAAAAAAAAAGGGGGGGGTCCTATGAATTCAACTGATACCAGTGGAAAACCTCTTCTCCGATGTTGAAAAGGATAATCAGTGAAGGAAATCTTAAAAGGATAGGTTCTTTTGTATGATATCGAGAATAATAAGCGTAGTACATTTTCGTGTTCTATATGTGTAATAAATTGAAAAACGTGTTACAATTCAATTTTAATACGACCTAATTCGGAAATAACAATATATTTTTTTAAGCATTATTTGTGTATTCAAATTGATAAACAGTATTATATAGGATTCTGATGTTTCATCTTAAATTACACTCACATATTTGAATATGCTATGCGATGTCTAGTTCAAACATTAGTATTAAGATTATAATTAACAACGTATTCTCTACTAACATTTTTTTCTATTCTTTCAACAAGCCAACTCCTTTCTAAAAAAAAAAAAATTAGTTAAAGAAAAAAAAATACGCATGGTCTAAAAAGAACCAATTATATGTTTGAAAAGCATAATCATTTTTTTTATTTAACAAGGACTTCTTACGTATGTCCGTTCGACTAATACAAAATGAATAAAGAATACATGCATATAATTACACAATTTAGGGTGTTAAAATTTGTTTGGGATTATCATTAAATGCGTAAATACAACAGGTATACGTATAAACATAAACATTAAAAAAAAAAACCATATTTGTATAAATGCTGAGTACATCTATTTGTGATTAATAATGCAGTAATGCATATCATGATATAACTACTGAACTACCTTTTTGGTACTCCGATTAGTGAAATAGATAACCATATCGACACGCTCAGTTTCATGGCGTTTATTAACAATATCGATCGATACGGAAGATTTTCATGCAATATGGATAATAATTTCGGGTTGGATTCATAAATAATCACCCATATGAGACATGAACTTACGTACTCCATTCCTTAGAAGAAATCTTTCACCTGATTGGTTTTATTAACAAATTACTTTAACACTGATGAACTTAATCCACTGCTGATTAAATTTGTCGATTTTTTGTTTGCTAAGGTAATATCATCTGATTATAAATAACAAAAAGTATGGTGACGATTTATTCTTATTTAGATGTTTATAATGATAAGTCCGCGACCTAGAATGTGCACCTATCATTTTATCAAGTATTTTATCAAGCATTTTATCAAGTATTTTTATCAAGTATTTTATCAAGTGAGAATTTTAAAAATAGCTTTCAGAAATGACATTCCTATAAGTAAACGCGGCATTCAGTCTGCGCTTGATAAATCGTTGGACGTATGAAAATTAGTGTATGATTCCATTTCTCATTCTTAAACATATTTTACATTGGGTTTTTATTGCACTCAAAAAGTCAAGTCCTATAAATACATTAAAAAACCTTACAATTAATCGTGTACAATTGTATATTAACATGAGATTATGTATCATTAATGAAAGAAGATTTATATATTGTTTATTGAATTTGAAAATTGGAAAATGCTTCATGTGCTTTGGTACAATGAATTTTGTTAGTGTCAAGATCAATCGTATAACATAAGAAAGCCGCGTCCACCCTATAAATTGAATCAGATATAAGATTTGAAGGAAAAAAAAAATGCAGTTTAAATATTGAAAAACTTACGTATCCTTCATAATGTATACAAAAAACTGTGCAATATAGTATGTAATAATGCCTGCTAAAATGCCAACAACATACCCATATTGTGATTGTAGTGAATGTGTGGCATATATAAATGTAGCAAACCCACAAAAGAGTGCGATCATTACAGTTCCAATAAAGAGGATGCACTTTGTTATAATGTCTAAAGAAATAAATGTAAGTGACTTCTGTACTACCAAAAATCTTATATAAATGATACTATGCATGTGAAAAAGGTTTATTACCATTAACTAATCCAAAGATAAGATTCCGTCGAAATAATTTGGTGCTATGGGTGTTTATCAAGATGGAATAATGCAAGATAATGTTGATGGAAAACCTGTAACTGCCCATCTTTTTGA